AAATAATAATGGTATAATGGTAATATATTTTTTTACTGACCTTCAATCTTTTCCTCAAGCTCTTTAATTTTGTCTAATAATGTCTGCTTTGACTTTTCCAGCTCCAAGTTCCTTTCTTCTAATATATCTATTCTTCTGATTAGTTTTTCGTATGCCTATAGAAATTTATGTTAGTGTGCCCATGACTACATGCAAACTATATATAGGCAATACCTTATCAAAAAGGGTTTCATTATACACTGTACAGAATCCAACAGTGATTGTTTTTATTTGCATCTCTTTGAAAAAAGAAAAATTTTTTAATATTCTATCGATCAGTAATGTTGAATAAACAGGAGGAAAATAGCAAACTATGCCTTCTTCATTCTTAATGTCATGACATCGTACCACCTTTTTTAAAAGGTCTCCAAATATTGTGGAAATAATGACATCTGTATCGGCACAGGTTTTGCTATCACATGTCATAGCTATGGAGAGCGTTTCAACTGTTGCACAACACGGGAGCTTTCTTGAAGGAATGTTGCAAACTCTTTTACTTTTCATGCTATCGCTGAACTCAACAAGTTCTGCTGTAGAACAATCAACCTCATTTGCAATTTCTTCAAATGGAGTAGTATCAAATGGTGTGGTATCTCTTTTTAATACTTCCATAGAATCATCAACAGATGAGAACATAATGCAATAGCGCTTTCTGAGGGCTGACATAAGCTTTGTGAGGAATGCTGTTGACTCCTTTACTTTTTTTCCTATTTCTTCAATGCTATTTCCAATAACTGTAATTACAAAGAAGTCACTAGCAATAATATGTCATTAAAATTAGAGGAAAAATAAATAATATACAGAAATTACCAAATGCTTTCTGTAGTAGGTATAGTCGGTTTCAGTTGAGTTTGACAGGTGAAACATTCTTATAACTTTTTTGTTATTAATGCTAGCAACTTAAAACTTGGTATGGTTGCATAACGGGTTCTTCCGCATATCTGAATTGATTTTGGAGTCTCTGGGTACTCTGGAAGGTTCTCAACGGATTCTTCCGGTCTTCATCAAAGAAGCCGCCATGATGTTGCATTGCATATTATGCTCGTGAATATAATTTGCATCTCATTACATTTGTTAACAATCATGTTTTATTTGTTTAAAAATAATATAAAGCAAAAGGAACACCCCAGACTAAGGGATTATTCAATCCCTTGTAATCTTGCATTTCTTGCCTCTTTTTTGAAGTGATAACAAGAAAAAAGATCCTGCAGGTAAGATGTAGAGGAAATAGCGCCCAAAACAAGAGACTCATGGAGTTAGAGGAAGAAAAAGAGAGCACATTGTAGTTTCAGCCATTTTATTCACGCGTGTGGGTGGGGCTACACGTGACGTTTTGATGATGAAAACTTCCTATCAAACTCAACTGAAACCGACTATATAAACACAAAGGATTAAACAGGGACAGATCCAGGATTTTGGAAATGGGCGGGGGGGGTTGTAAGTTAAAATGGCGTGCGAAGCGCACCACGATTTTGACCACACCCACTTTTGGCACAATTTTGTGGTTAAAATCATGGTAAAATTAACATTTCCACCATTTTTGGAGCTCTTGTTTTGTTAATTATATTCATTAACCACAGTAATGTTGCTATATAAACTAGGTGGTTAGCACTTCTACCACTATTGCAGCAATGAAAACATTAAAAATTTATGAGTTAGAAGTTTGGGGGGGGGGGGGTTCCAACCCCAGCAACCCCCCCCCAAGATTCGCCACTGTTTAAACTTGAAAAAATGGGACCA